GGGTTACACTGTGGGTTGGGAGTGAAGGGGTTACAGGGGGGCAGGGCCAGAAGGTGTTACGGGGGGGCAGGGCCAGAAGGGGTTACACTGTGGGCAGGGAGTGAAGGGATTACAGGGGAGGGGGGCAGGGCCAGAAGGGGTTACACTGTGGGCAGGGAGTGAAAGGGTTACAGGGGGGCAGGGAGTGAAGGGGTTACGGGGGGGGCAGGGAGTGAATGGGTTACAGGGGGAGGTCAGGGAGTGAATGGGTTACAGGGGGGTTACTGCCTCCCCGGCGGCCCTGGATGTGTGGGTCAGCGCGACCCACCGGGAATCGCCCTGCGACCCACTAGTGGGTCTCGACCCACACTTTGGGAACCGCTGCTCTAAATGCTCGACCACTACTCAAGACCGTCCTTTAAGTTCCTATCGAGCGCACTCCATAGCGAAATTCTTTGAGGCCTGCAGAGTGACTGGTGGTTGGGGAGGCGGCCGATTCCTCGCTTTACAGCACTCCATTATTTTCCTGGGAACTGTTCACCTGCCTTTGGACCAGCGGGGGTTATCCCGGCCTGCACTGACCAAGAGCAGCACACCATGAGGCCTGACACAGCTTAGTGCTGCCTGATACTGGCACTTACCTGGCGATCCCAAGATGGCTGCCACCCATGTTCCTGATGACTGGGACTTGCTGAGAAATTTTGATCGCCTGTGTGAAGCATTTTGGTGGAAGCTGGTTGCAAGATCTAGGCTCTCATTCCACAACCACTGACCAACAGCCCCTTATGCATCCTGGAGTCTGGAAGGATTGCAAAGCCCCCATTACTTGCGGGCACAGGTCACAAGGGCATGAGATGACAGATGACCTACCGGCTGCAGGGGTTCAGGATCACAGCTAGAGAACCCTGAAGAAATGTCGGGAATGCCGCAACTAAGTGAAAATAATAATGCATAAGTAAAGATGGATCCCGCTTGGGATTGCTATACAGAGATAATTAGACGTCAGTAGTGAAAAATAAAATAGGTCCTGATTTGGATTAAATAGCTATGGACTTCAATAGCAAGAAATAAAATAAAGTGGATCCTGATTAGGACTGAGTAACAATGTCCATTAGACTTCAATTGTAACACAAACTAAAACAGATCCTGCTTTAGGAAAATATATCACAGTCCTTTAGATTCTGGCAATAAATGAATTAAATTAGAAAAGAGAAATCAGCTGAATGGTTACTTCCAATAGTGCGATTTAGGAGTAACTGGAACCCAGAGGGCAGACAAGTGTATTTCCTTTTTATCCTTCAAAATAAACATAAGGTTTGAACCAATTATTAATCCCAGTAACTGGAGAACTTATCTTGCTTTCTTTGGATGATGAGCATGGAAGTACTGTCCAGAATAGAGTAGATTATGGTTCCCTGTAGTATATGGAGGAATGCGTGGTGAAGTCTGTTCCTAGTCTGGGAGTGGAGAAGTCAGCACAGCCAGGATCAAACAAGAAAGCTTAGGTACACAGGTAATCAAATAGAAGAGCTCTGTCGGCAATCAGCAACAAAGTTCCTAAGAAGCACAAAATTGATTGAGCAATTTGGATGCGGCTGCGACTTCCTTTTCAAAGGAGTACGGGTAATGTCAATCGTAAAGAAGGTATGGGGGAATCCAGAAAAGGACACACACATATTCTAGTTCCACACACATATATACACACACATACATTCACAGAGGTTGACAAATTCCAGGCGCCAGGTCGACAATTTCACCCTGGCGCCTGGTATTTGTCAGCCCTTTGTTAAGCCGTGCAGGAAACTTAAAGCCGGCTGACACCAGTGGCGGATCCAGAAACTGATCTTGGGAAGGGCACTTTTATATTATTTAAAGAAATAATCCATGCACAATAACCACTACAGCTATGTGTAGTGGTTATGGTGCCAGGACCCCCTCCCAGAGTAAGTAGTCAAACCGTTTAAGAACAGTTTGACAACTTACCTGGGATCTGGGATATGAGGCTGTAGTAGGGCAAAGGAGCAGTGGTGTAATGTGAGGGGTGCAGTGTGTGTGTGGGGGGGAGGGGTGTAGTATGTGTGTGAGGGGCAGTGTATATGTGTGTGGGGGCAGTGTATTGCAGTGTGTGTGTGGGCAGTGTGTGTAGGGGGGCAGTGTGTGTGTGGGGGCATGTGTGTGTATGGGGGCAGTGTGTGTTGGGGGGGCAGTATGTGTGTGTGTATGGGCACTGTGTGGGGGGGCAGTGTGTGTATGGGGGGGCAATGTGTGAATGTGTTGTGAGGAGGGTAGGGGGGCTTTTTGATAAAAAAATAAAATAAAGAATTTTTAAAGAATTAATACATTTATGTCCCCCCTCCCTTCTTACCTTTACTGGGAGGAGGGATGGACATTTCTCCATCCCTGGTGATCCCAGTGGTTAGAGTGAACTCTTGCCCGTAGCTCCAGGGCTAGAGTTCACTCTTGCGAGATTTGGAGTGTTGCCATGGTAACCGCGGCAACGCTTCATACTCGCGAGAGTAGGACATGGAGGAGCTGCAGGCTGAGCTCCCGGGTCCTCTCTTACTCCCTCCCCCTGCCCGCTGTCAGCACAGTGCATGCAGTTCCTCTCTGCTCCCTTGTGCGCTGTTTAGTGGCATGAAGTCACTCTGGCTTGCTATGTCCCACTACAGAGAGCATGCAGGGGAGCCAGGGAAAGATCCACTCAGCCCTCCCCAAGGTAAGGAGGCTGGGTGGATTTAAATTAAAAATAGCAATTTGTGAGAAGATGTGTGTGTGTCTCAGTGTGTGTCTCAGTCAGACAGTTTGTGCCGGTCACTGTATGTCTGTCAGAATGTGTGTGTCTCAGTCAGAGATTAAGGACGGAGCTTGCGTACGGGGAGGCGATCTTCCATGCAGGGGCAGAGCTTGTGTGCCGGGGAAGCTGCTGCACAGTAGTGGAACTAACGTAAAGTGGGTCCTGGTGCAAAAACTGTTTTGGGACCCTGAAGACACATGCCCATCGTGTGGCCCTAATTGCACGGCCCACTCGATGGGCCCCGGTGTAACCGCAGCACCAGAACTCCCTGTAGTTCCACTGCTGCGCCTTCCTTATTACAGTCAAGACACCTTTTTCATGGAAACTGGAAAACCTTTTCAGGAGGTGCAAGATAATTGTTCATGGTGTTTAAAAGGGGCTGTGGTGAAGTGTATGTATAGAGGAGTCTGTTTTTTGGTGTACTGTGTGTAACTAGGGGCTGTAGTGTGAGCATGTGCTCATGTATAGGAGCTTTTGAGATTGTGTGTGTGCTGAGAGGGCCTGTAAAGTGTGTGCATGTGTATTTAGGGGCTGCATTGTGAGTGTATGTGTATTGGGGTTATCAAGGAGCTGTATGTGTGTGTGTGTGTATATATATATATATATATATATATATATATGTGTGTGTGTGTGTGTGTGAGATCATGTGTAATGGGGTGAAGCATGTATGCATGTATGCATGCATGCATGCATGTGAGTGTGGGGAAGAAATGTGTATGTGGGTGAAGAGATGATGTGTGTGAGGGGTGCACTGTGCGTGTATGCAAAGGTATACTCTGTGTTGATGGGAGTGTACTATATGTGGAGGGGTTCACTATCTGTGAGGGTGTACTGTGTTCAGGGTGTGTAGAGAGTGGAATAGGGAAGAGATTTACAATTTTTACTTTAATTGTTTGTTTAAAAAAAAATAATAATAATAATATTCACCTTTCCCTGATCTTACCTTTCAGAGAAAAGGTGGTGTTTACATTGCTGCCTACTAAGACCTCAAGTGACAGTCACTCAGATGGCCACTAGAGAGTTCTGTGTCAGTGCTCTGCATGGAGGCGCGAATGTTACCAATAGAGAACATGTTATATCCTCCCAATGCTTTTCTATGTGAAAGCATTGGCTTAGCTGAGATCATTAAGATCTCAGCTATGGAGGAGGGACAAGCCACGGCGAAACCAGCATGGCGTGGGAAAAAAGGCGAGTAAAAACACCAATCATGTGATCAGAGGAGGCAGGTACCTAACAGACACATACTCTCTGACAGAAACACACACACACACACACACACACATTGAAAGAGGCATACACACATACAGACACACACTTTCTCTAACACTCACAAATCTATATATTTTTCATTGTAATCCACCCAGCCTCCCTACCTTTGGGAGAGCTGATTGGACTTTCCCTGGGGTTCAGTGGGACTGCTATTCCTGTGTGCGAGGGAGCAGTGATCTTCCTGCAGCTCCTCTCTGATTCCTCGTACTGTCTGCAGTGATGCTGGGGCCGGAGTGACATCATATTCCAGCTCCCAGCATCACTATACAGAGCGAGGGAGCAGAGAGGAGCTGCAGGAAGATCACTACTCCCTTGCGCGCTGCCCCAGGGTGGCTGTCTCCATGATCCCTGATTTGGCCGACTCCATACTCTCCAGGGTGGTCGGCTACATGATCCCTGAGTCGGCCGCCTCCATGCTCCCGCGGGCAGCCGGCTCCATTGTTTGCCCAGCCGCTCGCTTTAGGTAAAAGGCTGACAAATCACAGGCGCCAGGGCAGAATTTCTAGTCACCATGGAGCCTGGGATTTGTAAAGCCCTGCCATACACACACACACAGACTGAACCACCACCTCCACACACAGACTGAACCCCCTCACACAGAGAGACTGAGCCCCCCCCACACACACACAGACTGAACCCACCCCATAGTCTGACCCATACATACACAGACTGACCCCCCACACATGACTGACCACCCCCTCCCCACACCCATACACACACAGGCTGACCCCCCACACACACAGAGACTGAACCCCCAGCCCCACACACAGACTGACACACACACAGATTGACCCCCCCCCCGGCTTCCTCGCACACATAGACTGAACCACACACCCACACAGACCGACTGAGCCCCCACACACAGAGACTGAACCACACACACTGACTCCCACTTACCAGCAGCTGCATGGATGCCTATGTGCAGAGTACAGCTTCCCTGTCTCTCCCCTGCGCTGCTCTCTATGATCCTAGAGGAAGTCCTCCCAGCACAGTGCTCCCTCTGGCCGCACATGGGAAAACGGTGGAACAGAGTGCTGACAATGCAGCTGCAGCTTCTGAGGGGAGACTCTGTGCTCCCAACTTCAATTTCAATTGGGGGGGCACTGCAAAGAGAAGTCTATATTTGGTGGGACATAGCAAGTCTTGATTTTTATGTAAATTACAGCATTATACCTAGAGGCTTAAGATTATACAAAAGACTAGCATATAAACATAATGACCAACTAACACTCAACAAATTGGACCAATTATTAGATAAAGGATCATTATTCCTTATGGTGTTCCTCATTAATGAGAAGAAGAAAGATTTAGAAAACTATATCAAGAAATTACTACCCTTAAAACTTAAATCTGTCCTCTAGTAGAGAATGGAGAATATACTACTCTTTTGGACAACATGGAAAAGAGAATCAAAGATCTGGAAGAAGATATTAGAGAGGAAAAAAAGATAATTAGAGACCAAACCGACTATAAACTTCAGAAACAACAAAACTGGAGAAGAGAAAAACCATACCATCAGGCCCCAGCCCATAACCACAGAAATCAGATGTATCATCAGAGATCCCACCTTACACAAATACCTATCAACCTAATAGGAGGACTCCTAACAGATCATCCTACCACAATCCACACAGGAGGACTCCTGATAAAGTATCTTATCACAATCCTCAACACAGGAAGTACAACCCTGTATCCACCTCTACAATGAACCTGTCCCCATCCTCTCCTAATCATCATGTATACAAGACTTCTAAAGCCAAGTATCAGGAGCCATCTAGACACTCAAAATCAATTCAGAAACCTACACACTACGAACGCCACTCCATCCCTGCTGATATTCTTTGCCCTATGCTACCATCAAGAGAAACATCATCGGTATCACAGATAAAAGGAACATGACCCAAAACATAAGGAATTAAGACTACCTTATTCTGATAATTCCTCCTCACACATCCATCACAAGTCTTCAAAAGATATACACAGATCTCCTGACCAACGATCTATTACACCCATCACTCACACCTCAGAGAATGATTTTTTAGAGAAAAGGGGGAGAGCATCCCCGAGGAGATTCACAATCGAGGATTTCAAAACTCCTATGACAAGAAGGAAAAGAATGTTAGGAGAAATCGCAGAGAACTAGAAAATCAAGAAGAACTAGCACAACTGAAAAGGAGGAAATAATATTTAATTTATCAGACAAGGTTTTAAATGACGTAGAACTGTCTTTTTTAAAGAAAGGAAATTCAGATTTTAATTCAGAAGTTCATCCGTAAAATCACCATTCTTCATGGATAAGACTCTGAATACTCAATAAACAACGGAAGATTATACACATACCGATCTACACCCTACCTCTACTTTCTATCCACAATTTGTTAAAAGCGAACCAATCAAAGTTTTTGAAAAGATGGTAGAGGCTGATTTTAGAAAACTCAATAATGATACTAAACAATTGTAAAATGACAATCTAACTTATAGAGAGAGACAATCCTTGAATAAACCAGTGAAGGAAGATAAGCTGACAAAGGTGGCGGACTGGTTATCTTAAACACAGTAGACTATGAAAAAGAAAATGCAAGACTACTCGAAGATACATCTACATACCAGAATATGGATAAGGATCCCGCAATACCATTCACTGCCAAATTAAAAGAACTATTTGAATATGGCAAAGAAAGAGGAATTTTAAGTGAAAGAGAATATAAATACTTATTCATCCTTCACCCTAGGATCCCTATCTTCTACCATCATATGGGAAGATGATATGATTCTTGTGACAGCAGATGTCACTACACTGTACACAGCTGTAGAACATCTCCAAGGATGTGAAGCAATACAATACTCACTGGCCACTTATTCAGAACTGGAACATGATCAGATAGATTTTTTAATCCAATGTGTAGCATTTATTTTAAGTCACAATTACTTCTGGTCGGGTGACAACAATTTTTATCTACAATTAGAAGGAAATGCAATGGGAACACGTTTTGTGCCAAGCTAAGCCAATCTATTCATGGGCAAGTGGGAAGATGAATTTATTTGAAACCATTGCCCACTTGGCTTAGAACTGTTTCTATGGTGGAGATATATTGACGACTGCTTCTTTTGTCTGGAAGGGGCACACAGAATCACTCGAAAGTTTTAAATTGTATCTTAATAACAATCCATATAACTTGCAGTTCACATTCTGCCATTCCACAAAGCATATTGAATTTTTAGATCTTGAGATATATATCAAAAATGTGAGAATCCAGACAAAGAGCTTCAAGAATAATGTAGATTGTAACCGTTTTATACCTTTTAACAGCTATCATAAACGTACTTGGCTTGAAAACATACCATATGGACAATTCAGAAGAATAAGGAGAAACTGTTCTGAACTAGAGATGTGTCAAACTCAAATGCAAGAAATGAAGCAGAGATTTAAAGTAAAAGGATATCACTTCTAGAACAAACAATGAATAAGGCCCTATCCATACCAAAAGAAGATACATTATCTAAGAAGAAAAAAATCCAACTAGAAGAACATAAGAGTTCTGGCCTTCATAACCAAATGTAGCAGTCAATCACAGAATATTAGAAAGGTGTTAGCCAAACACTGGAACATATTAAAGAGTGACCATGAGCTGAACAAATTTTTGGATAACCGACCCAACATCATCTTCTCTCAAGCTTCAAATCTAAAACTTATGCTGGCACCAACAGAAAGTTCTACTAATCATATTCAGAATGCTGCTAAAACTCCTATCAAAGGCTTTACAAGATGCAGAAAATGTATAGGATGCAGAAATAACCCCAATTTGTTCAAGACAAATGTATCTCTTTAGATAATCAGAAAAAATATAAAGTGAAATCTAATATGGACTGTAATACAACAGGGGTAAACTATCTACTAACATGCCCATGTTCAAAACAATATGTAGGAAGAACAAAAAGAGGTGGGAGGGATGAACCTAGCAGTGATGAACCATACCTTCTAATAAAGAACAAATTTAAACATATACACATACATACATACACAAAATAATAACATTTTATTTTATTCTCCTTACTCTTAAAACACACCTAACAAATATACATCGTAGCGTATTAACTACTAGCAGTATATAAGAAAGTGAATGTTGACATAATGCATACATTCCATAAATACAGTTTTCTGAATAAAACTGTAATATAGTTACATCCGCTACATATAGTCCCTGAAATATTCCCGGAGCCTTCCCATGATCCTGCTCTCACCCCAGTTGCTTTATATCAGTACTTCTCTTTATGAGCCATGTAGGCTCTGGCATACTGTGTTGGTGTTCTGATCATTTACAATCTCTCTGTAAAAAACAATGTAAAGGTCTGACTAGAGAACTTGGTCCTGGAGGGTAAGTGGAACCTGTGGACCTTATTTCATTAGATGACAGGAATTAAATGTACATGGCCATGGTATATATTTCTCCCACATTGCACACTTATCATTGGTTCCTGACCTATACATTTTGTATTTCCTATAAAGTTATTTAAATTCAGTTATTAGACAGCTATTGCACTTTTAATTCTTTGAGACGTTAACTTTATTAAACATCTACTATATAGTACACATGAGAACGAGAGCCTATCACATTGTACAGCAATATGGCATTTGTTGGCGCTTTATTATTATTTATTATTTACATAGCGCCATCAGATTCCGTAGCGCTGTAGAATGGGTGGACTAACAGACCTGTAATTGTAACCAGATAACTGGACATACAGGAACAGAGAGGTGGAGGGCCCTGCTCAGTGAGCTTACATTCTAGAGGGAGCGGGGTATAGTGACACAAAGTACGAAGTAGGTTGTTAAAAAAGTATTCGCTGAGGGCTTAGTAGGTAATTTTTGACAGTTGCAGGAGAGGAGTCATGGAGGGTGGGAGATAAAAACCTGCTAACAGTTTAATTGATATGCTTTCTTGAAGAAGTGAGTTTTCAATGATTTTTTGAATGAGTGGAGACTGGATGAAAGTCTTACGGAGAAGGGAAAGGAGTTCCACAGAAGAGGTGCAGCCCTGGAGAAATCTTGGAAGCGAGTGTTAGAGGTGGGAGTACTGACAGAGGATATACGAAGGTCTTTATAAATTATAATAATAATTACTGTAGAAAATAGTAAGTGACTGTTGCTGAATGGAACACATTTCACAGTTGGATGCACTTTTGCAGGAGCTAAAACAACATGTATATTAAAAGGTACATGCCACTTAGCCCCCACACTAAGTGTACCAGGTTTTAGTTTTTATTTCTAAAAGACGAAAAAAGTAATAACAAAGGAAAGGTTCCTAAATATAATCCTAGCTTCCGTAATTCTCTAGTATACTGTGCAAGCTAAACCCGCAAAGGATCTTATTGTTTCCTTTATCTTTACTGATGTCTGTGTAGCGTTATTAATCTTGATCTATTCCCTTCTTAGACCAGTAACAATTCACTTACACTTAGAAGCAAAGTGATGTAATGGTCTTCAGTCACCGACCACTTAGCAAAATTGTTAAAGACAAAAAAATGGCATTTGGAAAATGAGTCCGGGAATCATAGTACATTTTAAGTCTTTTTTTATTATAAACCAAGAAAAACAAGTTTTGTTTTTCTACTAAAGGCCATTTAAAATACATTTCACCATTATTGCATCTAATCCCTAGAATTGCAAAAGTGGAGATCAGCCACCTGGCATACGTTGTCAGATTATAGCTAAATTAAAATAATGATAGGGCGTTATATGAGTTTACTTTTCTGTTGCAGAACATGAGAAGATGCATTTTGCCAAACATAATTAACCACAATACATTTTGTATTCCTTTAGGCTCAAGCACAACATAAAGAGATGGAGGTGTTGCTTAATTCTGTGCAGTTAAACAATTGGTTTAATTACATAGATTTTTAGCTTTGTCCAGATATTACTGGGGATTTTTAGAGCTTATTAAAACATGATAGCATAGCTTAAAATGGCATATTAAGAGGATTTTTAAACTGTTTTTTTTCCCTCTTTAATAATTTATTGATTTAATTGACAGTCATTATTGTTAGTGTTCCACATTTTAATTTATGTTCTTTTTTTGAGTATTTATTTTAAAAATATTAGTTGCATGAAATCAATATTTAAGTATGCAATAAAATATGATAAAGAAATAGTAAAGTGAAATATTAAACTCTAAATAACAAACAAAGGGTCAAACAGAAACAATAATTGTAGATTATGCTAGTTTTAGTGTACCTATAATCTTAATTTTATTAATGACAGGAGGCGAATATTTGCTTAAAGGACCACTCTAGGCACCCAGACCACTTCAGCTTAATGAAGTGGTCTGGGCGCCAGGTCCAGCTAGGGTTAACCCATTTTTAAATAAACAGCGGTTTCAGAGAAACTGCTATGTTTATTAATGGGTTAAGCCTTCCCCCTAATCCTCTAGTGGCTGTCTCATTGACAGCCACTAGAGGCACTAGCGTGCTTCTCACTGTGATTTTCACAGTGAGAGCGGGCAGCGCGTCATAGGAAAGCATTGTAAATGCTTTCCTAGGAACTGAATGTGCCGCCAGCTTTCTGCGCGCTCGCGCGTCCAACTTTGTTGGGGCGGAAGCGGAGGAGGAGAGAAGGAGGAGAGCACCCCCTTAGCTGGAAAAAGGTAAGTTTTAACCCCTTTCCCCCTTCCAGAGCCGGGCGGGAGGGGGTCCCTGAGGGTGGGGGCACCC